TCAAAAAGCTGCTTGGATAAAATATTAGCTACAGGCAACTCCTTGCTTGACATGCTCCTGTCTTAGGACCCATCTGAAGTGCCTTTGTTTTTCCCCAAGCAGGGAGCCAGCTTCACACACACAGTATAGGTAGGGTGACTATACATCCGGGTCTGGCCAGGACACTCCCAAATTCTGCAGCCCAGTCCCAGACTACTAGTCAAAAGTCCCAAGCTGGAGTCTCGCAGGGAGGCAGAGTGGCATGGTGCGCCACGCAGGAGGCCGGAGAGGCACTGCTGCTGCTGTGCAGGAACAAGGCAGGCAGACTGGAGCAGGCACCACGCCACCCATACATGGCACACCTTGGCTCCTGCACAGCAGCAGCAGTGCCTACCTGTCCATCTGCCTGGTGCACCATGCCACTCCACCTCTCTGCCAAACTCTGGCCTAGGAATTTTGACCAGCCAGCTAGGAATGGCCTGGGAATCTGGGAGTGTCCCAGCCAAACCAGGATGTATGGCTACCCTAAGTATAGGTGCCTAGGCACTTTTCTCATGGCACCAGATTCCACTCCAAGAGTCAATCCCTGCAACTCTAGCACTAAAGTTTGTTTGTTTATTTGTTGTTGTGTTGTTCCTGTTGATTTGGTTTGTTATTTTTTTTTTTTAATATACAGAAACCTAGCTCAGTCCCATACTTCACTGTTGTATCCAAACCCAAAACTCTAGAATGCTCTCTTCCTGGATAAGTATTGGAATAAGTTTGTGACAACAAGATCATTTGCTTTGTAACAATTCAATATGAAAAAAACTGTATGCATTTTAGAATAGACAGGTTTTACATTAGAAGGTGTTGGATTTTTTTTTTACATGTCTAAAGTCCATTTACTACCAGCTCTCTGCATTGCTCTCTATACAAATATTGTCATCTCAACAGTAAACCATTGAATGTCTAACTTTGGTACACTTTGTTTGTTCACAAAATAGTGGGCAATTGATAAATAATTCTGGATTCCACTACATTAAAAAATTTTTCCTAATCAGTTTTAAAGACAACAGGAACCAAGGATTTCAAAGCATTCTTTTAAATTGTAGGAAAAACTATCCCAATGCATCTCTCAATACAAAATTTGTTTGCATGCATACAAACAAAGGATCCACGGGATCTATATCTTGTTATATTACACAGACTTCAAAAAAAGTTTTTGCTTGAAAATTTGAAAAAAGTTAAAGTTATTTTTGAGAAGACATTCACAGAAGTCAGCAACACTTTTCAGGACACGCAGTTTCTCCTGCTGCCCACTAGGGCCGTGTGAAATTTCAGCAACCATTTCATTTTGGAGGTGTTTCAGGCTGCTTCAGCACCCAAAACACCAAATCCAAATCGAAATGGAAGGCTCAGAAACATGTCCAAAAAAAAAAAAAACTGAGGCATCTGAAACATTTCAGAAATGTTTTGGAAAATTTCAAAGTTTCAGAGCTGGGCTTGCAGGGAAATAGCTGTACATTGCTGCCCTGTCACGCAACTCAGCTCTGCAGGGAGCAGAGATCCACGCCAGGGGTCTCCCTGCCGCCGCTGCCCACCCCACAGAGCCCCACACTGCCAGGGCACCGCGGGGTGGACAGCAGCAGTGAGGAGACCCCAGTACAGATCTCTGCTCCCTGTGGAGCCAAGTCGCATGGCAGGGACCAACAGGCTTGCTCACTGCTCTGCGCTGCTTCCCTGGCCTGCGACCCCAGTATAACAGGGTTCAGAGATCCGCACAGGGGTCTCCTTGCCTGCATGAAGGGCAGTGGCCTTCCCCCAGACAAGCCACCCATGACCCCATCCTGTTCCCCACTGGGGCCCCAAGCCCCTGCACCTAAGCCCTGCCTTGATGGGTACGGCTGTGCGAAGCTTCCCTTGCAGCCCGTTCCAAACAGATTCAGAGGAGATTCAGCTGAAATGAAACAGGACAGTGATCCAAAACACCTAAATGAATCACCCTCCTCTGAAAGAGCCGAATTCAAAACCAAATCAAAACACAGCCATTTCGCGCAGCCCTACCACCCACCGCTTTCACAGAAGACAATCTTGCAATGTTGAGGTATGTGAGTATCATTTAATAGTTTTATACTAATAAAAACCACTTGTAAATTCTAAAGCCGCAGCAGCATGGGCTCTCTCAGTTTTATTTTTGCTCAAGGGAAAGTATGTTCTAACAGGCAGTAACTATAAACACTAAATTCACATGGAAAAAAGATAACATGAAAGATGTTTGTGTTTTAAAATACTTTGATATAGAAACAGACAATACCTGGAATATCTTGACTTTCAGAGACAAAAAACTGAATCACTGCATTAAGGTGTGATTAGTCATCTTTTACTCCAGAGCTCAAATAAGTTATATTACTTTCCCATAGGATTTTTCTAGTCATTTACAGTTCATTATGTTCTATGGTTATAGAGTCCCTGCTGTGTTAAAAAATGCCAAATTAAATTTGGATTTCATTCACTGCTTTATTGTATGCCTTCTTTTGTTCAGATCCAATTAGTGTCAGCCTGCTCTTCATTTATCATAAACTTTTAGCGGATTATGTTAGGTACTGCAATAGTTCCTTAGCTTTTCCTTGCAACATTTTTTTCAGTTGTGCTATCATTACAATTGAGGTGGTACTTTCATCCCAAGTCTATTTTCAGCCATTTGAGAAAAAAATTGAGGTTGCCCTCATCTGAAACATCTGGTTGCTCTCTACCCCCAAAAATTTGTTTAATTAAAACTTCTGGCAGAACCCACTGCTTTTCCCCCCAGAGAGTAGCTATCCTGCTGTGAAGAAGATTCATTTAACCTGTTAAGACTTTAGAGATACCTACTTTGCATTCAAATTGCTCAAAGAACCTTATTTCCTGGCCTTAACCAAAATAACTTTGTGGTTAAAGCATCAGCCAAGCATTTTAAGACCCTAAAGTGTGCATCATGACCCACTCTTCTGTATATATTCAAATCCTTATAAGCAAGATTGCTCCCTGGCTACTCATTACTAACTATCTTGTCTTTGTTGCTATTAGAATTCCATTTAGTTTTTTTTGTTTGAAGAGGAAAGAATTTTAAAGGCAGGATTTCTTTTTTCTCAGTTGCTTCATATTTTGGGCACATTCTCTAATATATACACACCAAGGTGATGGAAATAACTAATTCTATACCCTTTATATAAATAAAAATATTGGTTGAAAGTATCTTATTCTTCCCGTGTTCCACCCCAAAAAATGGTGGGTGAAATAAAGTTGATCTTTTCTTGGTTTTGGTTTTTTTTTTTTTTTAAGGGGAAAGAAAATTTTTAAATTGGGGAAAACCTGTTGCCCCGGTTTCCCCCCCAAAAAAAGGGGGGTGAAAAAAAGTTGATCTTTTTTTGGTTTTGGTTTTTTTTTTTTTTTTTTACTTTCAGAGTGAACTAATACTTGTAAATTGGGCTAAGCTGCTGACCTCGGTTCACCACCACAACACACTTACAGAATTTATTCCCATTCCTTAGTCCCTGGCCTGTAGGCCCAATTCAGGGTACATCAGAACTTCGGCAAGATGAACACATGTAGTGGAACAGCAGACTATTCTCCACATCTACCTAATCTGCAACTTCCATTTAAAGATGCAGGTTGTGCTAAACAGCTTTCAACTCCTGCTCAAAATTACTGCGTATGTAATTTTATATAGTTGCATTTTGCCTCTTCCTTTTTCACTACTAAAAAAAAAATAAATAAATTTTAAACACTGTTTCCCACATCCCTCTCCCCATAAAACATAGCCAGAATTAAATGCTGGTGGTCAGAATTAAATAATGACTATCCACTTTCTTCTTCTTTCCTTTGTGATAAAATTTTCATCATCATTGGTAGCATGCAGTATTTTGCATATGCATTAGGAAAAGAAAACTCTCTACTTCCTGTTGCTCCTCTTAATATTTGTGCTAGAAGCCCCTAATCCTGGTCTTCTCCAGGATGCTTAAATCCTCATCAGAAGCTGCTCCACTCCTTGGCTTCCTTCTATCTTAGCCTACAGGCTTTTGATGCGTCTTACCTATATACAAAACTAATCCCCTTTTCCCTGGCCTCTTTACCCTTTCTAGTTAAGGTTTGAGTCATTAATTGTGTCCAGCAACCTAGCAGCAACCAATTATAGTTTGGACAGCCTAGTGAAAACACATGAACACACACACACTACTGAAATACACAGTTGTCTCAGAGAGGGGATATACCTATATTCCATAGTTACTAGCGTGCTTATCATGATAAACAAGGTTGCCTGGCAGTTGGATTCAGATAGCTGGGATTTCTGAATTTCAAAAAAAACTTTCCAAATTAGCAGTACTTACGGCACTGGAATCAACATCACTATGCACAGCAACTGTTTTAATGCCCATCTTCTTGCATGTTTTGATGACCTAATTAAAAGACAAACAGTTACATTTAAAATAAAGACTTCAGATAAAGACCACAGATAAAAATGGAGGTAGTGGTAGTGGAGGGGGGAACTTAAATACTTACCCTGCAAGCAATCTCTCCTCTGTTGGCAATGAGGAGTTTCTCAAAGGTCTGAAAGGAAAGACAGAAATATGGATTCTGAGACACATCCAAGTCAACATTTATTTTATTGACATGACTATGGTTTGCCTGTGTTGCGTACAGAACTTTCAAAAACTATTCTGCTACTAAGATAGTCCCTGAACTCACTACAGTCTCACCTTCATTATTCAGACTGAAAGGGGGACTCAATCAGTTCATATGAGCTATGAAACTATGATCAAGTCTCCTGTATAAATCTCTTCAACTCTGAGTTGGAGTCTTTTGCTTTACTACCAGGCTTTGGACTCTTAGACTTTGCCTACATTTAGAAGTTTGTCACTCAACTTATGTCAGCGTTGGTTAAGTGGCAGTACTCTTCCAGCATATAAGCACTCTAACTGCTTATGTGATGTGGCTTATTTTAAATTCACATGCTAGAATAAGCTGTACTGATGGCTACACATTCATTAATGTTTTTACTAGCATAATCATATCAACCAAACCCAAGAGACACCCACACAAGTCCCTATCCAACATAGGCAGTTCAACAATTTACATATAAGCCAACTTCAAATACCCTTTCCAAGTCTCAAACAAAAGATTGTAACTTTCTTTTCTCCCAGTGGCAAGCATGCCTGTAAAGGACACAAACTGCACTACCATTGCTCCCTAGATTTCTTTACTGTTCAAGCCCCCAAGGTCTGGAATAGCCTGCCATCAGAGGTGGTTCAAGCACCTATATTGAACATCTTTAAGAGTAAATTGGATGCTTATCTTGCTGGGATCCTATGACCCCAGCTGACTTCCTGCCCTTCAGATGGGGGGCTGGACTCTATGATCTTCCGAGGTCCCTTCCAGCCCTAATGTCTATGACATCTATGAAATCTAGATAGTGTTACCAAAACAGGGGACAAGGAGAAAAGGTAAGGAGGAAGAGGTCCTAAAAATACTAGGGTGAACACTGTTGCCCTAGGTGGAATCAGATTTCTCTCTTCCCCCAAACCAGAAAAACCAAAGATCCACTGACATCTCTACAGTCACAGACATTCAGAAGTCATCAGTGTCCTCCCCTGCACACTCTTCCCCTTCCCACAAAAAAAAAAAAAGAAAGAAATCAACTTAGGCATATCTTGACAGAGCAGAGTAGGCTCATTTAAATAAACACATGCAGTTACAGCCAAAGAACTAATTTAGTTTCACCATCCTGGAGATCCCACATTCCCATCACACTTGAAGCTAGGAAATAATAAACCATAAGAGAACGGTGAACCCCATCTCACCACCCCTTCTCCAAATAAAAAAATACTCAGCCTAGATGCTGAGCATTCAATGCAAATCCATCATCATTGAGAATGTGCAAAGTGGTCAGCAGTCAGTAAGAACAAGAGTTCGGGTATATCTAATAATAGCCAGGTCAGCTAGCTGCACCAGATTTTCAATTCCGTTGTAGGACTTCAGGATATCTATAGTTATTCCAGAGTTACCACCACAGGAATCACAGCTGCCAACAAAAATCCAGGGGGAAAAAATCCATTTGCATAGAGTACCTTGAGGAATGACTCAGTGAAAGGACATTAATGCAGTCTTGGGTTTAAAGCAGCAAAGTTAGGCAAGATAACTGTACATTGGGTTTATGTTTCTCATCTCAAATCCTGCCAAGCTGAGCTACACATTATCAGCCGTATGTATAGTTCAAGGTGAAGGGAGGCCAATTATGTATAGTACACAAGTATGCGTACATGAGCATGAATACACAGGACCTAAATGATTCTAAAATCATCCCTGGACATCCTTTATATGAACTGAGTTTTAGAGGTGCTAAACAGATACAAGTTGTGCTAACGTCAATTATGAGTGAAAACATCCAGCACTTTATTTTTGGTTGTGATTTGCTTTGCGTGTTAAGGGATCTGATCCAAAATCCAAACTAAGGCTTTCAGGACCCAATCTTTAGGCAGTTTCAGAAGTGTAACCTTCTGTTCCGAAGTTTTCATATTGTGGAGTCCTCCACATTACGAATAAACTTAACCCCCAGCCTGAATATTTAGTTGAATAAGAATAAACTGCTTCATAGTGCAAGATAAGACTCGCATCAAGTATCAAAATGTTAGAAAAATATTTGACTTATTTTATTCTGCAATCAATGCACTAATAGAAAGATATTGGATTCTTGTTCCAGATGCTGAAACTCATCATCTGTGTCCAGAAAGAAAAGTTACATAATCCTTTTAAGCAATATATAATATTTCTCCTTAGCCCTGTCATTTAAGAACTTCTTAGCTAATTAGTTTAATATTATATCTGAGCATCATTAATAATAATCTACACAGGCACACAAAGTTTGAGCCCCTATCCCCCTTACATGTGGTTATGTGATCAACAACTAGCGTGTGAATGGAAACTAAGCACTTCATTTCATGGACTTTGCTAGTGTAGCTCTATGAAAAGAACAAGGGGAAGGAAAGAGAAGGTCTCAATTAAGAAACCGCTTCAAGGCTTGTAATAAACATTTAAATTCACCAGAAATTAAGTCACTTTAAGATCTCATAGAAGTGTTAGAATGATGTTGTAGCTCTGATGGTCCAGAAATTATGTGAAAAGCAAGAATTTTTGTGTGTGATACCTTTTATTGAACCAGCTGCATTTTTGAATAGTCAGACAGACAAGCTCTAAAAAAAAGTTCTTCTCCCTGCTTGAGAAGGTAAGAGATTAGATTTTTTTTAAATGTTAATTGGTCAAACTGCTAACGCAGAGTTCTTTCTACTGTCTTTTGGTCACCCTAACTTTAAGTGTACCTCAAAATAGGCACCTAAAGTTTTTTGGCACTGCATGACATGAACAAGCTGCAACAATTCTGGTTATTGCACAAATATCCTGAAAAGGACTTAGTTTTTTTTGTTTAAGCTTTGGCACTGAAGAGACACTGGAAAGCCTTACTTAAATGTTACAATATATCAGAAGATTTTACAACTTACCTTCTCATTTGGATCATATATAGCTGAATATAATGAACGGGAAGTTATAAGGCACCATCTTGAATGAAGTACAACACACTGAAAGAAAGTATATAATGTATTCAATTACAGATATTTACACGAGCAGCTTAGTGTTCTTCCCCCCCACCCCACCCCTCATTTCTCAATAAAAGTTTCTCCTTTTCCACCCTCCAAACCTGCAAGGTAAAAAACTCTACCTCATGACTGTAACCTTGGGGAAGAGGGAGGAGGAGGGGGTGTTAACAAATACTAACATAACATAGGTACTGGCCAACTTCTGAGTAACTAGGGGTCTCCCTGGGCTGCACTGCCCCACTCTCCGGGGAGGAGGTAGGAAGCAAAAGATGGAGGAAGGAACCCAGAGATCCACAGAGCAGCAAAAGCAAATGAGGAGTGCTGTCCAGGTGGGGCTCTGCAGGCCAAATATTAACCACTAAACTGACAGTCTCAGTTTAGAAACTCTCCCCAAGAACTACTCTCCAAGATACAACACTGAACAACAAAATAGAAAGTTACAACTCAATATTAACAAAAGAAAAGAAATGCACACCAAATTAAAAAGTTTCATTTACTTCAATACTTCAAGCCAGAAAGTACATGGTCATCACTGTGGTTATCTCATGAAGGCTATTAGCTGACTACGTAACAGTCAAAACTATCGAGCTGTTAGTATTAACTAGGGGTGCACCAAAGATCTTTTTGGCCAATACCAATGCCCAATTATTAACTAGCCATATCAGCCAACACCAATCCGACAGCCAATATGCAGCCCAGCAGCTTGGAAAGCAGCATACGGCCAGTAAGTCTGTGCAGGAGTAGACTGTGGGGGGAACAAATCAATGCCCCCACAGCAAGGGAAGCAAATGGGGCTGCGGCTGCCCAGCCGAGGCAGGACAGGGCAAGAGACAGAGCCATGGGCGGTTCACCTGGGGAGTGCGGGGGGGGCAGGGCAGGGACACAGCTCCCCACTGCTGCACACACCCCCAGGGGAGGCATGAGGGGCATGTGCCCCCCAGATTTGTGCACAGGGCAAGGGTAGGCTGCCCACTGCAAGCTCAGGGCCAAGAGCTGTGCTGGCCTCTTCCCAGCAGAGGGACTTGGCTAGGGTTTTGCTTGGGGTGGGCAGCAAAACTGGGAAGGGGGACTACGGTGAATTCTGGGGTGGCTATAGCTCACCCCATAGCCCAGCTCTCAGGACTGCTGCTGCCCACCCCCATCCTGAATGCAGTCCCAGCCCAACCGGCCACCAGGTAGAAGCTGGCACAGCCCCTTGCCCTGAGCCCGCAGCAGGCCCTCACTCCATGCACAAATCTGGGGGAGGAAGGAGCATTCCCCTTATACCGCCCCCATGGGATGCTGCTCTCAAGCTGATGGGGTACATTCCTGGGCACATGCATGCTGTGGCTGAGCACACACATACGGCATTTAATTAGTGACATTATCAGCTACACCAAACGAAATAAATAAATAGATTGTCGATAATGTCAATTTTCCTTTTATGGGTGCCAATCCAATAGGGACTGTTACATCAGTGCACCTCTAGTATTAACATTTTCCAATTACCTACAATTTTATTATAAAAGGTGAAAGCACATGATGAACTATGTTCAGGTCTGGTCACCCACCACCTCAGAACACAGCAAAATAAAAAGACGGTTCAGAAATAAATAAGAAAAAATAGTCAGATGGAAGAGCCTCTGGGGCAAAGAAAAACTGAAAAAGAGATGGGGCTGTTTACCCCAGAGAAAAGGACATAAGGGGCATTTTTACACATGCTTTGGGATGCAGCACTGGACACTTTAATTAGCAAGCTGTGCTAATTAAAAGCACCCATGCATCACATGTATCAGCATCTCCATGCTGAAAAAAAATGACAGCAGGACGCTTTGTACTAAAGCTCATTGAACATTTTTTCAGTGTGAGGACATTTCATAGTTGGTAGGGTCGGAAGGGACCTGAGCAGATCATCAAGTCCGACCCCCTACCATGGGCAGGAAAGAGTATGGGGGTCAAATGACCCCAGCAAGATGTTCGTCTAGCCTCCTCTTAAAGACCACCAGGGTAGGAGCCAGCACCACTTTGCTTGGAAGTTGGTTCCAGATCCTAGCTGCCCTGACAGTGAAGTAGCGTCTCTTGATATCTAGTCTGAATCTACCCTCTGCCAGCTTGTGACCATTATTTCTAGTCACTCCTGGTAGTGCTCGGAGGAACAGGGACTCCCCCAGTGCCTGCTGGTCCCCTCTGACTAGTTTGTAACAGGCCCCTAGGTCCCCCCTCAGCCTTCTCTTCTGGAGGCTGAACAGGTTCAGGTCCTGTAGCCTCTCCTCATAGGGCCTGCCCTGCTGCCCCCTGATCATGTGAGTGGCCCTCCTCTGGACCCTCTCCATGTTGTCCACATCCCTCTTGAAGTACAGCACCCAGAACTGGATGCACTACTCCAACTCCAGCCTGACCAGTGTCACATAGAGGGGAAGGATCACCTCTTTGGACCTGCTCGAGATGCATCTGTGGATGCACGACAAGGTACGGTTGGCCTTCCTGACCACATCCCCAGACTGTCGGCCAATGTTCATCTTGGCATCAGTAACGATTCCAAGATCCTTTTCTGCCTCTGCACTGACAAGAAGGGAGTTCCGCAGCCTGTAGGTATGCTGCTGGCTCTTCCTCCCCAGGTGAAGTACCTTGCACTTGTCAGTGTTGAAACCTATCCTGTTCTTATCCACCCACCCCTGTAACCTGTCCAGGTCCAATTGCAGCCTATTCCCCCCTTCTAGCATGCCCACATCCCCCAACATCTTAGTGTCATCTGCAAATGTGAACAGGGTGCTTTTTATCTCCTCGTCCAAGTCGCTGATGAAGATGTTGAACAGTGCGGGCCCGAGGACCGAGCCCTGCGGAACCCCACTGCCCACGTCCTTCCAGGTTGAATAAGACCCGTCCACCACCACTCTCTGGGTGCGGCCCTTCAGCCAGTAAGTGACCCATTTGACTGTAGGTGTCGACACAACAGTCCCCTAGTTTTTTTTAATGAGAACAGAGTAAGAGACAGTGTCAAAGGCCTTCCTAAAGTCCAGAAACACTACATCCACTGGTACCCCTGCATCTAAGCATTTTGTGACCTGGTCATAGAAGGTCACCAGGTTGGTCTGACAGGACCTGCCTCTAATGATCCCGTGTTGGTTGCCCCCAAGTATAATCTCCCCTGTTGGCCCCTCATGGACATGTGCCAGAATAATTGTCTCGAAAAGCTTGCCCAGGATCGAGGTAAGACTAACCGGCCTATAGTTTCCTGGGTCCTCCTTCCTCCCTTTTTTGAAAACGGGAACCACATTGGCCCTTTCCAGTCCTCTGGCATGATGCCAGAGCACCATGAGTGCTCGTAAAGCTGTGCCAGTGGTCTTGCAATAACCTCTGCTAATTCCCTCAGCACTCTGGGGTGGAGATAGTCAGGACTAGCTGATTTAAATATGTCTAGTCCCTCACGTTGATACACATGACATGGAAGGCTGCTGAAGCACATCAATTTCCATGCTCCAGCAGACTTAATTAATCAACTCTGCTCCATTGCAATGGATTTCTGCTGCATCGGAACAGGCTCCCCACGTCTATAAGAGTGCAAAATGTTACAGAGAAGTGTCTGGGAACATGTATTCAAACATGAATAGTAGAAGTTACCCAAAATTGAAAGAGACGGTATATTCAAAATATAAGAATTCCACAGCAGGCTTCAATTTCTCTCTGGCCTACTTGTTCCTTGTAGCTAACTAGGCTATAGAAAACCTCCAGTCCCATCTAGTATAGCAATATTCAAAAAAGCAGTTTTCATTTTACCCACAATAACTACTGAAATCATCTTCAGAGAATCAGAGGGCTAAGCCGGATAAGACACTTTAGATACCCAAGCAAGAGCTTTAAAACCGATACAGACCCACAAATTGCACTGAAGGATCTTAACACAAAACACTGTGTTCATTCAGCAGTCTGAAAGTTTTTACAGGGATGGGGGGGGGGGGCTTGTTTTGTTTTTGGTTTTTTTGGTTTTACAAGCACAGAAAGTTGTTACATTTTTTTAACTGATGTTTCAAGTCCGTCACTGGCAACCATGGTGTACATTGCCCAAACTTACAAGAACATTTTTTCTCTCATTAAAGGGATGGGGAAGGGGAAGATAATTGTTTTAGATTATTTCCAACTGTTTAATCGTAAGAGCAGTATTAGGAAGAGAACATATGCATCTTTTCTCATAAATTAGGCTTCTCTCCAACTAGTTTCATTTACTTAAATACCTGTATTGCCAAGAATAGATTTCAGCAATGCAAATATGAAGATACTCTGAAGCCTTTGCTCTCTCAAAAAAGCATATCTTAAGATGCTTGAGAATGATACCATCTTAAAAATGTGGAAATATAAACTTCTGCACAGCCTGAGATGATTCATTAAAGAATGCATACTTGAGTAGGGCATGCTCTGTTCTGATCTTATCAGACTACACCTGATGTAACAAACAGCACTTAGCTTATTCCACTTATAGGTTGATGCCCACTTCTGTAGTGCCTAGCTGTGGCCAGATGATTTCATGTATGTTTGTATCAGCACAGCATACAGCAGTGATCTAGTCCAGTAAAAACACAGTAACACCTCATCAAAAGTCACATTTGCTTCAAGAAAGCAAGTTCATTCAAGAAAATACTGCTTATAGGTCTGCTTCTACTCATGTATGTTGGACAGAAACAAGTTTAGTAAAAA